AGAGACGGGATTTCGCTATGTTGCCCAGGCTGGTCTTGAACTCCTGAGCTCAAGTGATCCACCCACTTAAGCCTCCCAGAGTGCTGAGATTACAGGTGTGAGCCACCACGCCTAGCCCAAAAGATCACATTTTTAATAAAACATACAATACAGGCTCTTACCTTAAATTTAGGATAGTCATTCATGAGGATCGTCACAATTCCAATATAAGGAACAAATCTAAAACAAACAAAAAACTGATTATCACAGAATTTCCTATGTAAAGCAGCTGTTGCCATTCACTGAATATTATCAGTCTTTTCTACAGAATACTAATTTTCAGTTCACAAAGTCCATTTCTATATATTGCCCTATTTGATCCTTTCAAAAGCCCAAGTGATAGGAAAGTTAGGAATATCACCATTTTAGAGATGAGGAAACATGATCATGCCCAAGGCACATGGCTTCTGTGTGGCAGGACCAGCACCAGATAGCTCCAAGGTCTTAGGTCTCCAGTTAGTGACTCTAACGCTACATGTTGATACAGTGCTAGGGGTTAGGTTTATCATCATAATCTTCAGGAAGCTGCCAATCTAGTTGGGGAGACAAAGCAAGCACAGCCAGAGTATTACAAAGTACTTCATGTTAAGTGGCCAAAAAGTGAGTGTAGGAGCTCTATTACAGTACTTAGGATTTCACCACCTTCTCATTTTTTAACCACCTGTAATCTGGGTTTGGCCCTATTAATCTTGAAACTCTTCTAGAACAGTTTAATCACCATATGTAGCAAACCATTCTCAGCTCCCATCTTTCTTTCCATCTCTGCAGCATTTGACTTTGATGACCACAAATATGCTCTGGAAATTCCTCCTTGGGTTTTTTTGTTTGTTTGTTTTTGTTTTTTTTTTGAGATGGAGTCTTGCTCTGTCGCCCAGGCTGGAGTGCAGTGACGTGATCTCAGCTCATTGCAACCTCTGCCTCCTGGATTCAAGTGAATCTCCTGCCTCAGCTTCCCGAGTAGCTGGGACTACAGGCACGCGCCACCACGCCTAACTAATTTTTTGTATTTTTAGTAGAGATGGGGTTTCACTGTATTAGCCAGGATGGTCTTGATCTCCTGACCTCGTGATCACCTGCCTCAGCCTCCCAAAGTTCTGGGATTACAGGCGCGAACCACTGCGCCCGGCCTCCTTCTTGGTTTCTTAACGGACCACAAATTTGTTTCTTCAACTACCCCTTTGGCTGCTATACCTTCTTTTCACTAGCTCTAATTCCTTTTGCCCCTAAAGTTTGTCCCCTCAAACTAAGCAAAACCACCCGTTAAATAATCTTACAGCACCTGATATATTTTCTTTGCGGTCTTTATAAAATTATCATACTTTTATTTAAATAATTAGTTGTACAACAGATTCTATACATGTCTGTCTCCCCTACTAAACTAGAAGCTCTGTAAGCGCAACAATGATGGCTAGCTTGTTCCCCCTGTATCCTCAATGCCAGCATAGTGCCCTACACATAGGAGATATCCAGTACATCCTGCCTGATTGAATGTCTGAATGTCTGAGGCTCTTCTTTTTGCTCCCTCTTGGGGAACTCCTGTTTTCTCCTAGGCCTTAAATTCCCACCATGCAAGACTACTTTGACATCATAAGAATTCAGGGCAGACAGAGAAAATTAGCAGGGTACCGCTGATGTGGAAGAGGTGGTTGGCAAATGTAAAACTCTCTTCTTTATCTTCCTCTTCCATCACTGGACTCCAGAATGGACTGGCAATATTGTACTAAGCTAGAGTCTGTCATAGGGACACTAAGCTGAAGGGGAGGCTGACCTTTGCACGCTTTAAAACTGCCCAGATACTTTTATTCAGGACACCTACAATCTTTGCACCATGCCAAAGACAGCACAAACAGAAATTATCTCCCACAAATATCTACACCATCAGAGCCTTAGGCAAACTTGAACACACACTTTGTTTTTGACACATTTCACTTCCTTTTAAGAGCTCCCTTCACTTCCTCTGTCTCTTGTCCTCACCCCTCCCTGCTCCTCTCCCTTCTGGCAGGATTACTGAGACCTGTTTCTCTTGCCCCATCCCCAAACTCCCATTCCATATACTGGTGTTTCTTAAAGCCTAGACCTCCTCTGTCATAACCACTTGATGACTTGTTAAAAATGCAGATTCTTATATCTTTCCCAGATCGACGAAGTCAGGGAATTTCTGAAAGGTGGGGCCCAAATGATGCTCCTGCATATCAAAATCCAAGAAGCACAATTTTAGTGTCAGATGCACATATAAGTGTGTGATGGCAAATAAAATCCCTCCTCGGGGTTCATGCTTTAGTATCAACCCCTGGGATCTCCAAGAGCTGAAAAGTAACAGTTGTTTAAAGAATGGCGTGGCTAAGCTCTAAGAGGATGGATAGAGATTTTCTATATTTTTATTATATATATAATTTTTCCTTTTTAATGCAATAACTGCTATTTCTTTTGTCTCAATTTTAACACTCCTATAAAAGCAACAGCTTTCAGTGAAAGTAAATCACCTAATTTAAGAACATAATGGCAAATGACTCACAGTAAAGTGCAGATTAAGAGCTTTAAAAGCATCTGTGATTTCTACTGAAACATTTAGCTGCTAATTCTGATTGGATGATCAATAGGCAGCCATTCTCATACACACACAGAGACTGTTACCTCCATGCAATGATATCTATGCCTGAAGAACCACAATCCTTGGCTCCCAGCAACCCCATAGGCTGCTTGTGAATAATTCATGAATTTTTTTTTTTTTTTGAGACATGGTCTCACTCTGGCACCCAGGCTGGAATGCAGTGGTGCGATCATAGCTCACTATAGCCTTGAACTCCTGGGCTCAAGCAATATTCCCACCTGAAGTTCCCAAGTAGTTGGGACTACAAGTGCACATCACCATGCCTGGCTAATTAAAAAAAATTTTTTTTGTAAAGACAGCATCTCACTACATTGCTCAGGCTGGTCCCAACTCCTGGACTCAAGCTGTTCTCCCACGTTGGCCTCTTAAAGTGTTGAGATTACAGGCGTGATCCACCGCACACAACCCAAAACTTTTTAAGGTTGGCTTTGCTTTGCCCACTATAAGTGAAATGAAAACAACTTGGTCTTTAGAAGTATCACAGGCAAGACCTAAGGATGCCAGAATACGATGAGGCTGTCCAAAGTCAAACGAAAGATTTAATTGTCTGCAGTACTGTTACCCTCCATGGACAGAAATAAGCAGAGTTGATAATCAAGTGCATAATGTTGCTATCATCATATTAAATTCAAACCATTTGCACTTTTGCCTATTTTGCTCAGATAAACTCATGTGCTAAAGCAGAGTCGCTAAAAAGCAGGAGGTTTAAAATAAGTGAAATGAATGCCATCCACAAAGCCAACTCCAACACCAGCCTGTGCCAAGTTAATATCTAGAAGGTAAAATACATTTCATATGGTTAAATACATTTCCCTGGGAATTCTTAGGATCAAAGGCACTGCTGGGGAAGTGGCCTCAGAAGAAAGCACTATCTCCTGATGCTCATAGAGACCATTCGGCAAGAGGCCAAACAAACAGTAAAGAAAAGATGCCACAACAATTAAGAAGGGACCCCAGCACGATTTTGTCAAATGTCAAAAGGGGTCTATACTGGGAAGTCTGGAATCCAGCAACCAACTAAATGAAAGAGTAAGGATATGTAATGACCAGAAAATAATCATCTTGTTTCTAGAATGACTTGTTTCAAGTTAAGTAAAAAGTACATTCAAGAAGTCTTAGCCATCAAACTGATTTCAGTCAATAGAGAGCTCGGTTACTCTATTCCTTCCTTGTATATTTTTGTTCTTCTTTCCACAGTCAACATTTCTGTTCCCCAATCCTCTGCCAGTCTTTCTTTTTCTCCTGTTGCTTTCTATTCCTTCTTGACTAATGGGTGCACTTGAGTTTTTCAACTTCCTGAATTTAGAAAGAAATCACTTCTTGAATACTTAATTGGTTCAATATTAGTTTCATTTTCTAAAATTGTTTTTATTACACGCTACAACATGAATAAGCCTTAAACACATTATGCTAGGTGAAAGAAGCCAGACACACTTCTGCTTATATGAAAAGTCCAGAACAGGCAAATCCACAAAGACAGAAAGCAGATTAGTGCTGTCAGGGGCTACAGGAAGTAGGGGATGGGGAGTGACTATTAATGAGTACAGAGTTTTATTTTTGGGGTAATAGAAATGTTCTGGAATTAGATAATGGTGATGATTGCACAATCTTGTGAATATACTGAAACCCACTGAATTGTACTAAGATGGTGAATTTTATATTCTAATATATGTAAATTATATATCAATAAAAAAATTTTAAATTATTTTAAAATAGAGCCTTAGGCCTCAATGTAAAATTATTTTAGTGTGCAGCTGTTGAAAAAAAGGAGACCAGCCTGACTAACATGGTGAAACTCTGTCTCTACCAAAAATACAAAAAAATTAGCCGGGCATGGTGGCACATGCATGGTGTAATCCCAGCTAATTGGGAGGCTGAGGCAGGAGGATTGCTTGAACCTGGGAGGCGGAGATTGCAGTGAGCTGAGATCGCACCACTGTACTCCAGCCTGGGCTACGAGAGTAGTGAAACCCTGTCTCAAAAAAAAAAAAAATTTTTTTTTAAAGGCATAAAGGAGGCCAGGCACAGTGGGCCAGGCACAGTGGCTCACACTTGTAATCCCAGGACTTTGGGAGGCCAAGTTGGGAGGACTGCTTGAGCCCAGGAGTTCAAGAGCAGCCTGGGCAACATAGGGAAACCCCCGTCCCTACCAAAAAATTTTAAAAAATGCATGAAGGTGCTGGGCTGGGTGGTTCACACCTATAATCTCAGCACTTTGGGGGCCAAGGCAGGAGGATCACTTTAGCCCAGAAGTTCGAGACCAGCCTGGGCAACACAGGGAAAACCTATCTCTACAAAAATTTTAAAAATTAGCCAGATGTGATGGCATGCATCTGTGGTCCTAGCTACTCAGAAGGCTGAGGTGGGAGAAATGCTTGGGCCTGTGAGGTGGAGGTTGCAGTGAGCCATGATTGTGCCACTGCACTCCAGCCTGGGTGACAGAGCGAGACTCTGTCTCAAGGAAAAAAAAAGCATAAAGACATTGGTACTACAGTAACAGACTTGCCTGTGGAAAAGTGTATTCTCAAAGTTTGAGTACAGCCTGACTTTGAAATACCAGCTTGGTGTCTTATGAACACAGTTTCCACAAAAGAAAGTGATATATTCCATTATGTGTCAAGCTCAGTAGAGGTACAATCAATGGAAAGCAAATTTATATAGTTATGATTCTGTGCTCCTGCTGTTCATGTCTCAGTTGTTTTTTTTATACGGAAACTTTCTTAACACAGAGTATTAGACTATTACATTTTTAATTAAAAGCCCAAAATGGTCTATATTTTCAATGTTGAGATTTTAAAAACAGCATTAAAAGGCTGGGCGTGGTGGCTCATGCCTGTAATCCCAGCACTTTGGGAGGCCGAGGCGGGTGGATCACGAGGTCAGGAGTTTGAGACCCGCCTGACCAACATGGTGAAACCCTGTCTCTATTAAAGATACGAAAATTGGCTGGGTGTGGTGTGCGTGCCTGTAATCCCAGCTACTCGGGAGGCTGAGGCAGGAGAATTGCTTGAACCAGTGAGCCAAGATCGTGCCACTGCACTCCAGCCTGGGCAGCAGAGACTCCGTCTCAAAAAAAAAAAAAAAGCATTAAATGGTGTGGACTTTTTCAGAAATTTTCCAGGAGACAAGTTATTTTAGTGAAAGTACAGCTCCCCTAATCTTTCATAGATAATGAAAGGGCCAGATCAAAGGGCCAGAGTGAGTAGACAGAGCTGCAATAAACACTTAAAAATCAATACCCAGGCTGGGTGCAGTGGCTCACACCTGTAATCCCAGCACTTTAAGAGGCTGAAGTAGGCGGGTCACTTGAAGCCACGGGTTCTAAACCAGCCTGGCCAACATGGCAAAACCCTGTTTCTATTAAAAATATAAAAACTAGCCAGGAGCAGTGACATGCACCTCTGATTCCAGCTCACTCAGGTGGCTGAAACATGAGAATCATTTGAACCTGGGAGGTGGAGGCTGCAATGAGACAAGATTGCTCTACTGCATTCCAGCCTGGGCAACAGAGCAAGATCCTCCAGCCTGAGCAAAAGAGTAAGATCCTGTCTC